CATCTTGAACGCGACGTTAACCCCATTTCACCTCACCACACTATGTCGAGAGTCTGTTGCAGAAATTGCGTTTAGTGATACACCTCGTTCCGTACGATTAGGTTTATATCTGTGCCACATTTACGTCTGAACCATTGTCCTCCAGTCTGGAGAGCTGTGAAAGAGCGCCGATTCAGTGGTACTCTGATTGTTGCGTCGTCATGTATCAATCTCCCGTCTTCCCGGAGCCGGTGTCACGTGTGGCAACTGACTGAAGATGATATGTCCGATACAGTTAGCCAAGGCAACCTCAGCGCTGTCCAGCCGGAGAATGGACAGTTGATTCGACAAGGGTTAACGCCAGATACAATTTGCAAACCAGTCTCACCCACGCGAAGCTTTGATTACCCCCGATAAGGGCCGCAGGTGGGTATAGAGAATCACTCAGCATGGATCTCAAGAGATGTACTTTACTGTTTGAAATAACGGCACCATTCCAATAGTAGGCGAGCGATAAGACCAATGTCAGATACAATTAACAATAATATGTATGATTCAGATGGCAATCCTTGATCAGGGCTGCAGGGGTATATATACGGACATTGAAAATGAATATCTTTTCATTAAGTTTCTAAAACGAAATCAAAACGATTTCATCGCACACGTGATGTTTTCAATTAATTTACAAGACAGCTGAGTCACCTATTTTCGATAGTGGCACAAGGGGTTCGGACGTTAAGATACATGTATATGCGTGTGGAAAAATCGGGCGTGAACGGTATTTTTATGTGAAAAAAACCAACTGGCTAAATTAACACACAAATGGCATCTCTATGCAAAATTATACACATTATCGTGTCACGCAGGGATGAAGAGACTGGCGTGTTCTGACACCGTGATGACACAGCATCCAGACAGAAGATCGTAAATGGTATTGATGGTATTAGTAATGGGATATGATCAGGAGTCGAGAACGTAGAGACTACAATGTCAGATAGTATTTGCAAACCCATCCTATCATTATCTTGTCGTTAAACACAGATATCATGCTGTAACAACGCTCGAACTAGAACCTAATGAGCCCTGAATGTGGATTCCTGATGTGAATGAAATCGCGTTTCCTTCGACATTCACGCCTTTTCGGACCGTTTCGCAAAGCATATGTAAACATTAAAAATTATTAAAATAAATAGAGATTTTTAGCAAATACTACTTCAGAAAAAGCTATAAATCCTTTTAATCCGGAGCTCATCAAACAGGAATCCTCGGATTCCGGAATATTTTTTGTTATGTTTTTATAGAAATCCAAAGGGTTCCTTAATCCGGGTATGTGTTTATCCGGTACATTCCATTGGGAACGGTTGTCCCTTATAACGAGGTTCACTTTATACCCGTGCAGTATAAGCTGACATTACGGTTATGATATTGAATGCCATGTGTGGATTTGTTTTAATTTAATTCCTATGAATAAAGTAATCAATCCGCAGTGTGCATATACAAATACAGACTGGCTAAGCACGTCGAGTGCGGAGAGTAGGTGCATGGATGAGTTTCTACCCAGCATTCTTCTCTTCAAAATTTACTGTCATGTTTTAAGGGAGGGGAGAGGGGTGTGACATTCACGGTCGAGAATACTTACAACAAAGCTAGCTTTTCTTTCGCTTTGGCCCTTGGAACGCGGCCAATGTCTGGCTTTATCGGACACCTGTCGCAGTCGCTGTGGCAGTCGATGACGTTGGTGTAATCCCCCTGGTCAGGTTTATGTCAGCGTCATCGCTATTTTATTGCAGCACGTGTTCGGTGGTAGCCAGCAGCACGTGAACGTCATTTTACGCAGTGCCTTCAAATTACACACCGGTTTGACCACAGACGATTCCAGTTAAGCGAGAAATTAACTGAAATTGCAAATTTGCAATGATGTTTAGTCTTTGAAGGAGGAACGGAATTTATTTTGGAAAGTTTTTAACGAGAACTTCTTGCCTCAGAACAGACGTGTGACTGTCATCCACATAGAGTGAAACCTTTTTGGTCCGCGAGGCCCGACTTTCCGATGAACTTCTATGCACAACTTAGAGGACGTTTCTGCGTAATGGATTTGTTTATTCCGGAAATATGTAAGATAGAATATTAAAGATAAAGATATTGCTTTAAATACGTATCATTTCTCTGGTAATAATAATATGAATAATCATCATCGTCATCATCACCAAGTGTAGTGTGATTATTTTTATTTTTATTATTTTTATTATTATTATTATTATTATTATTATTATTATTATTATTATTATTATTATTATTATTATTCTAAACAAATAGTCTAGGTACAAACCTTTAAATGCATATTTGGTGTCTCACTTTTATTTGTATTTCCCTTCAGACTGTTATACAATTTCAAAAAGCAAGAATTTGAATTTGTATAATTTTAGCCTTCGAAATTTAAAAATCTAAAAACACAAATGGGGTCAATCTTCAGCCAAACGAAACACCATTCTCTTAAATCTTCAAAGAGCGGGACAGGTCTGCGATTAAGCATATCCAAATATTCATACAAGTGCACATACGGCATTTAACGCCTCAGCATCTCTGCAATGATGGCGATGTTTAACTGCATGGTACTTGGTTCCACCTCAAGCATGTAACGTCTACGAAAGAGTTGTAACCCTAAACTATATATCGTTCCATCGGTTACTATGACTACAGCCAGCGGATTCCCGCCACATGTCAGATTAACTAACTACATCGAACAAAATCTGCAAAAAACAACGAGTACCGAACACTCTTGTGAGACAATAGCCGTACCTGAGAGCCTGTTAACCTGTTTCGCCACAAATCTAATTCCAACAAGTACCAAAGCGAGCCAATAGTGGGTCATTCCTGGCGCTGGTAAACATGTGGTGTTTTAAAGGATGTGCCCAATGGCTGCTTGATCTCATTACTCGCCAAGCCCCACAATCTGCGCTCGCTTTCTTCTCCTCCTCCTCCTCCTTCAACAATAGTTTCTATCTATCCCCTCGTTCCATCCACGTATAAATTTATCCAGTGTAAAATCCAAAGTTCTTCGTAATATCGAAAAACATGAGTTATCCGAAGTCGGTACAAACGCCCCAAACCACCCCACCACCGTGTACTGATATTATACCATAGGGAAGGTAAGACCTATCCGATAGTTACATTGTTGTTGTTTTTCGAGTTTGAATTAAAGATATTTATTTAAGTTTTTACGCACTGCATTCTTTGGGTTGGTAAACAGTTCTGAGCTTAACTATGATAAAGTGTTGGTGGAGCTGGTTGCTTGCTGTTTTTCAACACAATCACTCCAAGGTCATCACACGTCTGTCCACGGTGCTGGAGTCCCTGGATCCAACTGTTGATGACGGATTCCACCTGGTGGTCAAACGATCCCCACAGAAAGAATGACGTCATGATCATTTGAATAATGCTTGCCAATCAGGTCTTTCCTCAAGATTGGAAGTTGTAGAAATCTGACGTTGCTAAATCTGGTGAATACGAGAATGAATTCAAAGCCAGTCCTGCATTGGCATGGTGGCATCAGACATGTGCACAGGTGCGTTGTCCTGGAAGAACAACAGGCCATTTTGTTAAAACGCTGGACAAGTTCGTGTCACAACAATGTTATTCTTATCAGTCTTATTGACTCTGAATTTCAGTCAATTTGTCCCCAGGAAGTCGAACGATGACGCGACAGACCAGATGTGTTTCTGTGTTATTGTTCCCATGAGACAGTTCAGTCGCCATTTCATTATAATAAAATACAAATAATGTATCACATTGCTTCAACAATTACAAAAACCTACAACTCAAAATAATATTAATGTTACAAAAATGTTATGAAAGGGAATCTTTGTTTTGGGGCATTCGGAACAAAATAATGAAGCGGAAAGAATATACCCGATTTTGTTCTTTGTTAAATTTATTTTTGAAACCGGGACTGTTGTCCGTTTGTGTCCCCTTGAATACAATGACACCGCAAAGCTTTTTGGTGAAAAGGGGATGCACAGGTTTTTGAAAGAAATGGGGTGCGCTTAAAATAACAAATATATATGGAAATAATTCGAGAAACAATGTGCGTTAAATAGACTTAAGTTCAAAAATTAACACCGCCTGTCTGTGTTCGCTCGTCCAGCTCTACGCATGGCTTAGATCCAACATGGGCACATAATGTGAACCCTTCCCTTAGTTTGGTTTCAATATATTTTATTAACATGAAAAGTAATTGACACAATTGATCACAACTATCGCCCCCTCCCAAACCTATCCCCAGATCCCCTATGATTTTGCTGGTAACTGGAAAATCGGCATGAAACATCACACACTTACTCCTTGTTATATGTATCGATAACTCCATATATCGCCTCTAAACCAGGAACTAATCTAGTAATCAGAGCAAATAAGGTGGAATAGAAGTGTTTCATATTGTCACAGCTTTCATAATGGATATGACAATGTAGCTCGCCTCTCCAGCATCAAACGATGCAATTACGCTGTTCGCTTCATCACCTAGTGCAAACACGGTGTATTACTATTGGCCACCGCGACAGCCCGGTGTTTCAGAGACTGTCTGGTCGCGCCACAGTCACCCACATATAAACACCCTGGATCGATAACATGCACAACAACAGACAATCTAGTTATGCGTATAAACGTCTATCCGTTCTCGTTCTGCAATGTTCGGTTGTCAGGAAGCCGAGAACAATATAAGGGAGGTAACTCTTGGAATCGAATTTTAGTATGCCAACAAAGATTGTCTCCCTTTATCTTTTATCGCAATCCGTTGCCTTGCGGGTGATGCCACAAGCTCATTATTTTCGTGATTATTTGATATGTTTATCGCATACTTTGTTTTTATCCTAATTTGTCGTGATTGGGTTGGCATTAAACTACGTTGCCATAACAATCTCGTTGTAATACCGCAACACCATCAGAAATATTGTTATTTATTTATTGAAAATATAGCATTGCCAATATTGAAACAAAACCAAGACTTTCATTTTCTTTTTCAGATACCCGAAGTTGGTATGAACAAATATGGCTACAATTATCTGCTGGGATCTCTGGTGAGTTGATTTATCTGGATAAACACTGCATTGTCGCATCAGTATTATTAACTAGGTTGACTATAATATATGTAAATATGTCAATGTTTAGCTTTATTTACCTCAAACTAATTCATCGTTCAACCTGTTTTTGATCTGACTCAGACAACTCTCAGTTTGATCAATGAGTAAAATCTTCCCATGAAGCTGCTTGAAAAAATAAAAGTCGGACACATTGTAATGAATAGTGAGGAAGGAGGTCGACCATTTTTTATAAACAATATATTATATTATATATCTTTTGCTCTTTGGTACACTATTAGTGTCGTTGGAGTTCATGTTATGGAACCCATGAAGAACCGGGGTAGAATAGGACTTCAGCAACCCATGTTTGTCGTAAAAGGCGACTATGCTTGTCGACTAACGGGATCAGGTGGTCAGGCTCGCTGACTTGGTTGATGCATGTCATTGATCCCAATTGCGTGAATCGATGTTCACGATATCAATCACTGGATTGTCTGGTCCAGACTTTATTATTTACAGACCGTCTTCATATAGCTGGAATATTGCTGAGTGCGGCGTAACACAACAAACCAAACCAATCATGTTATGGATTACACAATATTTTTCAATGCGCAAAATTTGATTTGATTTTTTTTAATTTATTTTTTTTGCAATAAAAGTGACTGACAGGCAGGATTTAAAGTGACATGTCAATGCCCGAAAACATTATTATCCTAATATATGTACCAGTTTCTTACTTTACAACTTTGTGTCTATATGTGTAACAATATCTCTTTCAGGATTTCAAAAATTTAAATTTGACACGATATCGTCACGGTGGTGTCAACGTCACAGGATTCCAACTTCTCGACGAGAAAAACGAGATTAGCCGAGATTTCCTGGAGGCCTTGGGCATGACCCCTGGGCGTTTCTCGTCCCCCAAGGATTACCAGTCCGTCCCGGTAAGTCAGTACAGGTCATGACGTACCAGGGCCCTACACCACAAAGCGATCGTATCTCTAAGACAATCGTAGCTCCAATACTTTAACATAGGCTTTCGACAGACGTAGCATCAATATCGCTTCATGGAACGGGTCCAATGTCTACTTTCTCATATGTAACGTGTATGCTGTGTTTATAAACTTACAGCCAAAACCGGCTGTCTCGAAGTCGGATGTGTCGAATCCCCGGCTGTGTCGAACTCACATTAGGGTCGCGGAAACTCTTACTTTGTTTATTACGATTTGAACTTGGAGGTGTAGAACTGGATGTGTCGAATCCCCGGTTGTGTCGAACTCACATTAGGGTCGCGGAAACTCTTACTTTGTTTATTACGATTTGAACTTGGAGGTGTAGAACTGGATGTGTCGAATCCCCGGTTGTGTCGAACTCACATTCGGGTCGCGGGAACTATTACTTTGTTTATTACGATTTGAACTTGGATGTGTAGAACTGGATGTGTCGAAGTCCCGGTTGTATATATGTTTAATAACTGAATTGTTCCTTTGCCATTGAAAGTTGCTGTGGAAAGTACACATACAAGAGGTTTGCCTCTCCAGGCTCCACCCCCTTGGCGCATCACTGTACCGTAGTGCGATCTGGCTGATCTCAGTGGTGAACACATTTCACACAAAATAATAAACAATTTGACAATGTGTAGGAATTCGCGGAGTTTACTCCTAATAATAAATTGATAATTGGTTCTGATGACTCCATCCTTGTTTTAAAATATTTTGGGGGATTTTGATTTTTAGTTAAAATATTCATAAAATTAGCTACCTTATTACCTGTCGTTGTACTAAATAATTTATGAGGATAATATGGAGCCGAATTTGATTCTACTTTATCTCAGCAGAATGAAAAATGATAAAACCCATTGTTAAACCATCATAGGTCAAACTATAGGCCATTATCGAAAATTACAGAGAAATCATATGTCAACCATTACATGGTTTAATCACTCGAATCTATTGATTTCGGTGCTCGTTAATTCTGCTTTCGGATTTAACAGACTCTCGTGATTTCTACATTACATATTCTTCTAGATGACGAGGTGTAACAAATATGTTAATAAATAATAAAAACTGCCAGCTTGTGTTCATATAAAATTTCCAAACATTCACACTCGTCCTACATATGTCCGCGCCCCAATCGTCAGGCCAAAATGACTTCTTTCTTTGTTTTCCTTTTTTTGTAAGAGGCGACTAACGGGATCGGGTGGTCAGGCTCGCTGACTTGGTTGATGCATGTCATCGTATCCCATTTGGGTGGATCGAATCTCATGATGTCAATCACTGGATTGTCTGGTCCAGACTCGATTATTTACAGACCGCCGTCACATCGCAGGAATATTGCTGAGTGCGGCGTTAAACAACAAACAAACACACAAACAAACAATTGGCGATCGCGACCAGGCGGACTGTGTGTCATCTTGCACGGACAGAGGGGATCGCAGACCACGCCATTTTCTGGGCCCTGGCTCTATTACTTCGGGACGCCGTGATATAGAAGGAAGGTTGTTGGCATATAACATGTTTACACCCAATTCTCCATTCCCTCTCTCACATAGACTCGTGTCGTCTAACCATTCTCCAATGTGTTGTGGTGTTCAGTACTGTAATCCATGTTCAGGTCCGCGCGGCCCTGTTGGTGGATGCTGTGTACCTGCTGGGCCAGGCCATCTACAGCATGATGCAGAACGACACCGACGTGTTCCGCTACAACTTCAGGCGAGGAGACCTCTACACCTACAACGACACTAAGGGGATCCCATGTGATAAACGCCCGCCTGTGCCTTGGATGCACGGGGAGGAAATTCTACACAGAATAAAACAGGTAAAGAACAGGAGTGTGTTTCTCTGTGTTCATGGGTGCGTGCGTGTGTGCATATGTGTGTGTGTGTGTGTGCGTGCGTGCGTTTTGTGTGTGTACGTGTATGTGTTACGTATGCGTGTGTGTGCGCGTTACGTGTGCGTGTATGTGTGCATGCGTGCGCGTGTGTGTGCAGGCGTGCGTGTGTAGTGCGCTTGTTGTGTAAAATAGTCCAGCTACATGACGGCGGGCTGTAAATAATCGAATCTACACCAGACAATTCATTGACGGATATTGTGAGAATATATCCACGTGATCGGAGAATGAAGCCGCGTAATCAACTAAGTCACCGAGCCTGCCCACCCGAGCCATTTAGTCGCCTCGTACGGCCTCGAAAGATTTCCCGTACTGATCTGTATAATGTAACCTGGAAAATGAGGCAGACCGAAAGTAGTACCGGTCTTACTGTACGTTAACTTGTTGCAAGAATGATGTTTTACTAAACTGAGAAGTTACGCCAGTCCATTACTCCGCCTTGATCTCAAATGGGGTCCTCGGCGAGCCAACCTAGCTGACAGGGTGCACTGGTTAAAAGTTAGATTCCAAAATTCACCTTGATTTTTAAAGAGGACAGGAATTTATTTATTAGAAAAAGGATGTAACGATTAGATTGCTGCATAATAATATCATGACTATATAATATATGACATAATTCATTTCAATTATTAATGGGACCCGTGAAGATCCTAGAAAGATAGGTCTTCAGGAAGCCATGCTTGCCGTAAAAGGTCATTATGCTTGTCGTAAGAGGCGACTAACGGGTTCGGGCGATCAGGCTCGCTGACATGATTGATGCATGTCATTGTATCACAAATGCGTAGATCGATGCTCATGATGTAAATCACTTGATTGTCTGGTCCAGACTCGAATATTTACAGACCGCCGTCATATAGTTGGAATATTTCTGAGTGCGGCGTTAAACAACAAACAAACAAACACTCATTAATAGTATCCAAAATGATATTTCCAGATGCAGCCCACGGGTCTGTCTGGCGTTCTTTCCTTCGACAGGAAGGGATTCAGACAGGACTACAGCCTGGGGGTGTACTCCGTCAGTCTGGACAACGGACCCTCAAAGGTAAGGATGCTATTCTCTGCAAGTCAACATCTGTAGGATTGGCCGTCAAAGGTCAGAGTGGGGTGTTCAGTAATCCTGGACAATGGCCTGTCCAAAGTTAGAAAGTTGTATTCAGTAGAATGGTATATTCAGTAGAATGGTATATTCAGTAGAATGGTATATACAGTAGAATGGTATATTCAGTAGAATGGTGTATTCAGTAGAATGGTGTATTCAGTAGAATGGTATATTCAGTAGAATGGTATATTCAGTAGAATGGTGTATTCAGTAGAATGGTATATTCAGTAGAATGGTATATTCAGTAGAATGGTATATTCAGTAGAATGGTATATTCAGTAGAATGGTATATTCAGTAGAATGGTTTATACAGTAGAATGGTATATACAGTAGAATGGTGTATTCAGTAGAATGGTATATTCAGTAGAATGGTATATACAGTAGAATGGTATATTCAGTAGAATGGTATATTCAGTAGAATGGTGTATTCAGTAGAATGGTATATTCAGTAGAATGGTATATTCAGTAGAATGGTGTATTCAGTAGAATGGTATATTCAGTAGAATGGTATATTCAGTAGAATGGTATATACAGTAGAATGGTATATTCAGTAGAATGGTGTATTCAGTAGAATGGTATATTCAGTAGAATGGTATATTCAGTAGAATGGTGTATTCAGTAGAATGGTTTATACAGTAGAATGGTATATTCAGTAGAATGGTGTATTCAGTAGAATGGTATATTCAGTAGAATGGTATATTCAGTAGAATGGTGTATTCAGTAGAATGGTATATACAGTAGAATGGTATATTCAGTAGAATGGTGTATTCAGTAGAATGGTATATTCAGTAGAATGGTGTATTCACTAGAATAGTATATTCAGTAGAATGGTATATTCAGTAGAATGGTGTATTCAGTAGAATGGTATATTCAGTAGAATGGTGTATTCACTAGAATGGTATATTCAGTAGAATGGTATATTCAGTAGAATGGTGTATTCAGTAGAATAGTATATTCAGTAGAATGGTATATTCAGTAGAATGGTGTATTCAGTAGAATGGTACATCCAATGGAGTGGTGTACTCAGTAGAATGGTGTATTCATGGGTTTCAATAAAGTTGTAGACGCATGCGACCTGCGTGGATGTAGGTTGACAAGTCGTGATACATGTTTAACTGAAATAATGTTCAAAATGACATTAAACCCTGACCTGTTTAAACTGTTGAACGCCTTTACATGGATATTTGATAACTTGGAATATTCACCATGAAACATAAATGAAAAGCCACGACTGACAATGGTGTGAGAACAGCCACGTGTAGCAATATGCCAATCATTACACGATGTGTTGCGCTGACAATAGACTTCATCTGACCACCCTGTAGGCTGAGTGAGTGAGTTTAGTTTAACGACGCTTTAAACATTATTTCCGTTATATTCGGCGTGCCTGCTTGATGTGGGGAAAAAGCCCGACGTATTACAAGCGTTTGCCACTTGCTGAACCCACGAGCACGGGTGTGGTGCTGACAAACCTAGAAACATAATCAGGGCGAACCGGGTTTCGGACCTAAAATCATCGGATATTGGCACTGGCTTCTGTTACTCTTGTGGGACAGCGGATTATGGCGTCTTATGCTACTATCACACCAAAGTAGTTCTATCCCGTTCTAAACAAAATACTAGAACGGGCTGTGATCACGGTAGAACACGTAGTTTGGCGTAAAATACGATGCTAGTTCGTTCATAAACAGTCCTCGATACGTCTATCTCGTTCTTAGCCAGTCTGTAGTCCGTTTGTATCCAGTTCAGATCGTGTAAAAGTGCCCGTTCACCTCATCCCGACAACGTTTCGAAGCGGTTCGAGCACGTCCGTAGCCGTTCTGAACCCGTTCTTAACCAGTTCAACCTCGTTCTACCTCGTTCACGATACGTCCAAGACAGTTCTAACTTATTCTTAACCCGACCAACTCGTTCGCAGTACGTCCTCATCTCGTCCCAAGTGCGTGACTGTGTATTCGCGTCCTGGCCCGACTCCTGTTGATACCGAGCGCGCTGTAGCCAGTCTTCCTTCAAGTTCAGGGCTCCGAGCAGTACACATCATGCCTCCAAAGAGAAGTCGACCCGGTCGGTGTGCACACGTACTGAAATTTATGTCCGACTGCACGTCCCTAGTAGGTTCGAAGTACGGCAATTCCGTTCGTAATACGTCTTTCTCGTTTTAAGTACGTTGTCAATCCTACTAATTACAAAACGGGATGGACGGGATAAAATTTTGAGCAGACTCAAAGTTCCAGGGCACCCTCCGCGTCCGAGCCCGTACACGAAGTTTGTAAATAGACTGTCAATAGTGTCTACTACGTCCACTACGTTCATACACTGTTGGAGCTCGTTCGACAACATTGTCACGAACGTATTGAGAACTAGTTTGGTGTGATGAGGGTACTAGGCAACGTAAGGCCCCGTTCAACATAACGATCCAAACGTTCTATCTTTGCGCCCATACACTCTAACAAAGATTCACGATGGTCTCAGCGCTAAGATCGCTTTGAGGAGCAGGGCCCGGGGCATGGGATCCTTGTACCCTGGAGTGAGTGAGTGAGTATGGTTTAACGCCGCTTTTAGCAATATTCCAGCAATATCACGGCGGGGGACACCAGAAATGGGCTTCACACATTGTACCCAAGTCGGGAATCGAACCCGGGTCTTCGGCGTGATTGTACCCTGGATAACGGGTTTACAATAGAGTACCGTGTCGGTAGACTAAAATTGTATTTCATTTTATCGCTTTCAATTATAATTATCACCATGTCTCATAGAGGCACTGATCCGTCACTGTTGCTGTTTGACTTGCAGATCGGCACCTGGTACAGCAGCGAGCGGGGATTCGAGAGTGAGAAGCAGGATGCAGGGCAACAGATGTATGAGCAGTATCCGGAGCGAGGAGCCAACTCCACCACCAAGACCATAACGTCTATATTGGTAATAGGATTCACCGTGTCCGCCTCATCATACACCAGACCGCCTCCGTGGTCTAAAGGTAGAGCGTCTGCCCGGAGAGCGGAAGGTCCGGGGTTCGATACCCGGCCGCGTCATACCAAAAGATGTTAAAAGATGGTACTTGTTTTTACCCTGTCTGGCGCTCGGCATTATGGGCCTAAAACAAGAACACACACACACACACACACACACACACACACACACAAACACACGTGCATGCACGTCGCTATATGAGTACAATAAAATCTTAGACGCGACGTTCAACCCCATTTCACCTCACCCATCATACATGATAAACAACTGCGTCCAATATTTTGAAGACTTGTTGCAAAGAGCGTTCTTTCTTTTATTGCATAACACGATATGCACTGTGTTTTGGATATATGTACTATATATCTTATATATAATAATGTGATTTTAGAAGCACGGGAAATGTATTGGTGTTTAACTGGGCTCAAAATGGACCTCATGTTTGTACTAAAGACGTTCCATATTGTTGTGGAAATATTTTTTAATTAATAATTTTGAAATTCAAACCCTAAGATCTTTATCCGGTGACTTTACCCAAATACAACATATGCATAAAAACATCAACCTTGATACGTTTTTAATGGACGTACAGTTAGATGGATGATAAATCGCCATATAGTCCATATTATTATTATTATCATTAATTAACATCGTATCAATATATCTCTTCAGCTTTTGGTGTATCTGAATTCTAAAACTAAAATAAGTCTTACGGTAATCTCATATAGGAACCATATAGCTTTTATTTACCGCCTTTTAAAATTACTATGCCAACACTGGCTTCCGGGACAGCAATATACAAGTAAAGGACTCGTCATTTAATGTACCACCGTCAGCATGGGTTATAATAAAGGTTTAAGTAGCAAACTAAGTTGTATCACACAGTTCATTGCAAGTAAAGGTTCATTAAGGGATCAAGATGAGGGGATAGTGTAAAATTGTTCTTTGTAGGATTTGTTTGTTTCTTTCTTTCTTTTTAACGCCGCACTCGGCAATATTCCAGCTATATGACAGCGGTCTGTAAATAATCGAGTCTGGATCAGACAATCCAGTGATTGACATTATGACCATCGATCCACGCAATTGGGATCAATGACATGCATCATCCAGCGAGTCTGACCACCCGATTCCGTTGGTCGCTTCTCACGACAAGCATAGTCGCTTCTACGGCAAGCATGGGTTGCTGAAGACCTATTTCAACCCCGGATCTTGATGTTTTTGTAGGAAAGTAAGTTGACACTAATGTGGTCAGTGGGTCTTGCAGAGTAATCATAGCGAAAATAAAATATATTATGAAAGAGGTAACGATTCTGAGAAACAAATATTAATAAATTCATGAGCAAAGGAAACTATACCTCTCAGCTGATTTTATCGTGTTTCATTTTCACTTGACAATATCTTAAGATGGCGATACTATATCCGCAAAATGAACTGTACTGGCGCTTAGTCAGCACACAAAGAATACTTTCACATGGTTCTATTTTTTATTATATAATTTGATTGAAAATCTCTAAAAAAAAATATAAAATATCATTTCGCATAATACACAAAGGCTGGTGCAATTCATTTTTTATCCCATTCTTAATTGAACCAATATATTTGACATTGCATTTGGAGTAATAAATGATGGTTAAATAGACAAATCAAATCGAACGTTTCTTTCAATTTTCAGTTATACTCTGTATACTTTCTTTTGAGGTTTGTCTTATTTCTCTTCAATGGTGTGTTCTGAATGCATTAGAATCCTTTTGAAAACAATGGTTTGTTTCAGTTTGTTTGATGGATCGTTTGGTAGATTGTTTGATAGATTGTTTGGTAGATTGTCTGAGGGATTGTTTGGTAGATTGTTTGAGGGATTGTTTCATAGACTGTTCATGTTCATGTCAGATATAAATTACCATTTTTGTAACAAAATGAAGACTGTTTACACCTACTCAAACGATTGCAGTGATTACATAGTATTTAACGTTACTGTTTACTTTCAGATAGATCCTTTCTTGATGTGGGCCAAGGAAGACGCGGGAAGGCCCAAGATTGGTAATGAGAGGTTTCAAGGTAAATATACACAGCGTGGTTATTCACGAGAGGAGTCTGCATTAAGTTGAACGCCTTTGTGTCGAATTTGGATCATCCAGAAAATAAGTGCGACTTATCCGACTTTTCGACACATCAGTTGTTTACAAGTTACATTTAAACATTGATGGTGATGCAGGGTATATTGATATTTTTCAGTTAGACTTATCGGGGAAATTTTGTATTTTTGTAAAGATCCGGAGTAGAATAGGTCTTCCAAATTAACGCTGTGTCTGAGGAAATCTTGAAAAGAAATCGTCATTTAAATGGAATTTGTTGATGGACATTTCTCGGTTTATGAGAAGTTTATGGACAAAGTTTATGGACAAGTTTATGGACAAAGTAGACACAATTTATGAATAACAACTTCTTTATTTTTCTGTAATGGCGACGTTTCGGTACAGATCCTTATATAACGTCGCCATTACAGTAAAATAAAGAAGTTGTTATTCATGTATTGTGTCTGCTTTGTCATTTAAATCTTTAAAAGAAAATGTAACTCAACTGAGGGCAAAATAAAGTATACCGACTTTTTATGCAATTGAAAATTGAAAAAAGAAACTGATATTAAATTCAGTTATGTTCTTTCAACCATCACTCATTCCTGCAACAATAACCTATGGCTGAAATTACGTTATGTAAAAAATTGGTTCAGTGAAGACTGGAGTAAGAAATACATTTCAAACCACATGACAAATTGTTCTACTTTTTGTAATTTTTAAATCAAATTATGTTTTTAAAAATAAAACCATGTAGACGTATTCTTCGAGTGCTAACTAAGCGCCAGTACAATTCATTTTTATATACAGTACACTACGTTTATAACGAACACGCTTATAACGAACAGACGGATATGACGAACTTGTTTTTTTGTCCCGGCCACTTCTGTATATATGCTATAAAGATGCTTATAACGAACTGCGGTTATAACGAACCAAAATGAGTGACCCCTGTGAGTTCGTTATAACCGTAGCTTGCTGTGTTATGTCGCTAACTTACGATATTTTCAATTGACAATCAAACGTATGATAATGTGAAGTGTGAGGTATAGTTTCTCTTACCTCTCAGTCTATGTGTTGTACAGGAAAGAAGGATCGCTGTTGATGATAGAAAGTCGCCCACTTTGAATAAACCGCATGAATACTAAGTCGCATAATGGAGGGTTTACAAACATTTTTATGTTATCGAGTTTTGTTATACAACGTAATTCTAATTTTCTCATTCGTTTTTGTGTCTTTCTTTTGTGTTGCTAGGCTACGCCGCTGACCTGTCCTACGCCATGTCTCAGAAGGTTGGTTTCGACTACTATATCAGGCTTGTGAAAGATGGAGCCTACGGATTGAAAGAGAATAACTCTCAGAAATGGAATGGTATGATCGGAGAACTCACACGAAAGGTCAGAAGAAATATTGCTTTCACTGGTGTTTTTCTTTCTATTCTATTTGTTCTGTTTCATTTTGTTTATTTTCTTTATTATTTTTTTATGTTATCGTTTATCTTTATTTAATACTCACCTATTTAGGGACCGACCATTTCATATGGGGCCTGGGATTTCTAAGGAGATTAGATATTGTTTCAGCTTCAGCTCAAAAAACAGATATTTTGTTTTGTTAATAAATATGAGCTTGAATTGGGTTGTTTTAATAAAAACACCTTGCAACAATGTAATTTTGTGGCTGGCAATTTCTTTTTATTTCAAAAAGGAGTAAAAAAAATTTTTTTGAAGAATTTTCAGAGACAATTTATTTTTTTCATTAAAACCCCAGCCGCCACTCACATAATTTAGAAACAAAGTAGTGTTTGTTGCCTGCCGCCACAGAGAAGTACTTCTGCCACACAGTGACGGTTGTAAACAACCGAGTATTGATCCGGGGTAGAATAGGTCTTCAGCAACCCATGTTTGCCATAAAAGGCGACTAACAGGATCGGCCTCGCTGACTTGGTTGATACATGTCATCGCATCCCAATTGCGGGTCGATGCTCATGATGTCAATCACTGGATTGACTCGATTATTTACAGACCGCCGTCATATAGCTGGAATACTGCTGAGTGCGGCGTTAAACAACAAACAAACAAACAATCGAGTATTGAGCAGACAAACGATATGTTAATTGTGAATTTACGTCAGTTAATACGTACAAGTGCACAGATTCTGATGCTTATAACTGAAGAAAAACAACAAATAAACATGTTCGTTTTGCAACACAGTGGGGGTGGGGGAAGGATGGGGTAGGGGGATCAATTATGTCCAGTCAATGTTCGTGACCACCGCACATGATTATCAAAGGCTATAAATATTGCCAAATAATATCTAACGAAACTGATGCTTAATGACTTAATATCCCGCTAGTCTAATGGTAATACCAGTCATCTGTCTTAGCTGACATGGGTCTTTTTTCTTGTGTGAAGCAAAGACCTCCATTGGGGCTACAATTTCAAGGATAAAGTATAGGTGTGTCTATATTGCAATAGATAGATATGACTAGTCATGTACATGAAGGGAAAATAATATTCACCATGCGTTAATAATAAATGCACTCGTAAAAACATTTTAATCAGACTTAATGCCTTTGTTTCTCATAGTGAATGAGTGAGTATGGTTTTACTCCGTTTTTAGCAATATTCCAGCAATATCTAGGGGACACCAGAAATGGGCTTCACAGATTGTAACCATGTCGGAATCGAACCCGGATCTTCGGCGTGACGAGCGAAGGCTTTAACCACTAGGCTGCCCGATCGGCCCTGTTTCTTATAGCATGTTTAAGGGACATACAAACTATTTGGGGGTGTATGTAAGGGTTTGGACATACTGAGAATAGAGTATAGAGAATATCGAGACCACTTTCTATTCACACCACAGTTGGTACCGGTCATCCAGCATGCGAACACTTTATTTCGGGAGAAGAGATACTTTTCTTCCCGACCGTTAAACGGTCGGTCCTTGAGACGACTCTGCTTATTTGTTTTTCCTAGGAAGCCGATATGGCAATAGCTCCATTGACCATCACAGCAGATCGAGAACGTTTTGTGGACTTCTCAAAACCTTTCATGAACTTCGGTATCAGCATCATGATCAAGAAGCCCGAGAAACAGAAGCCGGGCGTGTTCTCCTTCATGCAACCCCTGCGGGTGGAGATCTGGGTGTGCATCACGGTGGCCTACATCGGCGTCAGTGTGGGGCTGTTCCTGGTCAGCCGATTCAGCCCCCTCGAGTGGAAGAAGGGCCCCGAGGCTACAGGGGAGGAAATGGCCAATGAATTCTCCTTGTTCAACTCATTCTGGTTCTCTATGGGTGCGCTCATGTTCCAAGGAAGCGACTCCTGTCCGAGGTAGGTTCTCATCGCTCGACTCCACTCGGGTTATTCCGCGCAGTACACTGAAGGCGACTGAAGGCGACCATCATTCGTGACCAACTCCGGGACAAGCCGAATAGCAACTCGTGCCCCCCTCGTCGCCATTATTGCGACCGGGTTCCGTCTTAGCGCAAACGGGCATACCTAAAACAATGTGTCAGCTCGTTGCGTAATGATTCACACATTTTCCCCATATATTATATATATTTCAGATGCAATTTAAAGCACATCGGGACGTGCGTAATTATATAGTATATTGAACACATTTAACTGTGTCTTTGGTACATTTTAGATGCAAGACATATGTAAAATCAAAAATTATTTCTGAGGGATTCTTTGACAAAGAACTTGAAATCATACGCGCATTCTGATTGGTTTGTCGTATTTTCGCACATAACATTCATCGATAGGGGGACGAGTCTTCTTGCAGGTGACGGAAAGGGGCGAGTGGTGACGAATGATAATACTGAAGGCGACCATTAGACCCGCCGATTCATTCGTCACATCTCGCCATTTTCCGTAACGTTCAAGAAGACTCGTCCCTTCTATCAATGAATGTTATGTGTGAAAACACGACAAAGCATGGATTTGACTTGTCTGGAAGTAGACGACTTGGTTACGAATATGTCTGTCGATTCCGGAGTGACACAAACGTTCGCGACTGAACCCGAATGTCAATGTGGACCTAAGGTAAAAAGGACGTCAACAGTTTGTGTACGGGCTAGTCACTTACGATAAAGGGAGACAATTTAAGGGGAGGTAATTCTTGTATGACAATAGTTCCGTCAAAGTGTCATGTTCACTGCAATGAAATGTCAAGGGTTATGTTCACTTCAGTGAATTATCAAGGGTTATGTTCACTGCAATGAAAATATCACTTTTCGCAACTTCGGAAAATTAGTCTTTCACACTAAAGTATATATAATAAAACGGTGTACGGTGTGTTGTGGGCATAGTCTGTTAACATGTAATATCACTGCTCAAATGCAGTCCGAGTGTATATGGCGGAGAAGGCCGAGGGAATCAGAGTGGTATCAGAGAGAGACACATGTTCTCCGGTACGGTCCGGTACGGTCCGGTTTGGTGCCAACTCCGGGCTAGATCTGGAGGTTGTTGTACTTATAATGCCATGTGTAAAACCGACACTTTCTGCCTGTGTAATTGGTGTTAATATTATCTGCTACGTTGATAGTACTGATTTAACAGGAAAATTAAACTTTATTAAACCATTCAAGAACCTCAAATTGACATACAAAGGGAGAAAATTCTATACCGAACTGACATTTTGGGCTCGTGGCAATTGCTAAAACATGCCTTTAAGGGACCGTTTGAGTGATGGTACTCAACAACTACGACATCAGTTAACACCCGGCGCTGTGTTAATCGAATACTACATGAAAGACTTTAACCGGAGAAATATACATACGTATTTTCTAAATTACCGTAGATTTAAATGAAATGTCAAAACCAATCGATATCAACCTTGGTCAGCGTGACTTATCAATGGCAATTAATATAGTGTCTTTTAATTTCTGAATTATGTATTGATCTTGGACATCAATGGCTCTCAAATCTTAGTTTCCGTGCTCAGTGCGGTTCACCCATCATGAAACAAAATGAAGAAAAAGAAACGTCTGGCTTCAATAAAAATAATGTTCTATTGAAACTGCATAAGCAACGGCTTACGACGATGGCGTTTGAGTTCTAATATTAGTAAACTCTTTTCACTTATGTGAGTATTTAAGCAAATTCTATATAAACTTGATAATTTTCAAGTATATTTTGCTCAGATAAATTAAATTAAACATTAATTAAATTGAATTTCCTTTCAATTTGCGAGATTTTGTAGCTGATCTTTTAATAATTCATATTTTCCGCTAAATATTATTTTGTTCTCCCAATGTATTTGTTTCTGTTTTAGATCGGTGTCGGGTCGTATAATAGGAGGTGTGTGGTGGTTTTTCGTCCTCATAATCATATCCTCCTATACCGCCAACTTGGCTGCCTTCCTCACGATAGAGCGGATGTTTACACCCATAGAGTCGGCTGACGACCTTGCCAAGCAGACGACAATCAAATATGGAACGATTGATTCAGGAACATCGTTACTTTTTTTCAAAGTGAGTTTTGTCACATTCCCAACGACCTGAAACCCCAATGGTGTACTTCAGACCGGAATCTACTCAAGCTCATATCCGGTAGCTCAAAGTAGACGCAATTGGTTCCATCAGTTGACGACTAATCAAAGCTCCTATTGTCAAACCATCAAAGAGCATGTATAGCCAGAGCAGGCGATCCCGGACAAACGAGGGAAGGTAGTTTGAGTAGTCTAGTCGTAAAGGGAGACCGCCGCCGTGATCTGGGCCCCGTTCCTCAAAGCGATCTTAGCGTTAAGGTGATCGTAAGTCCCATACTTTAACATAGGCTTACGATCATCGTAGCGCTAAGATCGCTTTGGGGAACGGGGCCCTGGTGGATAAAGCGTCTGCCCGGAGAGCGAAAGGTCAGTCGTTCGATCCCCGGCCGCGTCATACGAAAGACTTCAAAACGGTACTTGTTGTTACCCTGCCTGTTGTTCGGCATTGAGGAGATGGTCGGCTCGGTGTCAGTATATTCTGGCTGAGTGGGGTATCCATGTTAAACTGCGGCATGGTTCTTCATTGAACTAGGCGAGTAAACCGGCATTAGGCCTGAGTAGTAGTACAAGCAGACGCACGCACGCACACACGTCGCTATATAAGTGCCATAGTTTCGAACGCGATTATAAACTCCATTTGAAAATGCGATGACTCGAATTGCCGAATACCCGGATGTACTTCCCCATGTTTGAGCTGTGTGAAGAGCTCATTTTCTCTCTGAAATGGGTGGAATATTGCCAAAATAGGCGTAAAACTAAATTCACGCTCTCGCGCAAAAAAACGAAAAGGATAATGATATTATTAAGAACGTGATCGCACCTTCCCTAACTCCCTACATTTAATATGGTTTGAGCGAACAATGATAGTTGTTCCCTAAGCATGTTGTATCTCCTGCAAAAAAATGATGTTGTCAAAAAGAATTTTTAAAATATGCATAGGTCGGACTTTACACGTGATTCTGTCTCTAACATTCCATGTTCATCCTCATCCTCTGCTGCAAGAACTCCGAGGTACCCACGTACAAACAGATGTGGAACTTTATGAGTGCCAACTCAGATGTGTTCGTCAAGACGGCGGAGGAGGGCGTGGCCAAGGTCAGGGACTCCAAGGGAAAGTACGCGTTCCTCCTGGAATCTTCCATCAACGAATACACAAACAACCGGAAGCCGTGCGACACCATGAAAGTGGGGCCAAAGCTCAACTCAAAAGGCTTCGGTGTTGCGACACCAAGGGGCTCAGAACTAAGGTAATTTAATATTTTGAAAATCCTGTTGACAGATAGTTACACCCTGTACGAATAATACTACTACTAATAATAATAATACAGTCACGTTCCGTTAATCCAACATTGTTGGTTGCATATGATGATTAGGTCGGATTAACGGGTCTAAATAGCACTGATTTAGTCGGTTCCCATCAATAGTTTCGGATAAAGCCGATTGTCGGATTAACGAGACTTGACTGTAGGTGGTTTGGTACCTCCCAATCTGTTGACTGACATTTGGAGTGTACCCGGGTTTTCTACCAGGAATACAGCCCTTCTGACAATCTGGGTAATGCAGAAGGCTGCAATGTTGGGGAGTCTTCACATTCTCCGAAAAGTTCTAGGTGGGTTTGACTAGGCAGCGCTTCATGGGAGAAGTCCCGTTTCCTGTCTTGGCTGCGTGTAGAGAGGGCAAGGGCCCAGAGCCTGATGATGAGCCTGACCAGCCTGACTGTGCCAGGATCACCCAAACCCTCTTTGCTGCATTTTTCATTACCCTTGTTAACCCAGCGAACGCTTTAACCACCAGGCTATCCGACCGCCCCCTTTACAACCTGGGTTCGATTCCCCACATGGGTACAATGTGTGAAGCCCATTTCGGATGTTCCCCGCCGTGACTCAGTCATGAAACAAATCGTTAATAACATCATTACAAAGCCAATATATACAATAACACTCTCATTCATCGCCTTGTCTCAAAATGATGGGTGTAACACTGACTAAAGCGGAAGTGAGGAATTTCACGTGGTAGCAAAAGTACCCTATATTTCCAATCAAACTTTGTTTCCAAGAATCTTTTACAATGAGGGGCGATATGTACGATATTAACCCTTAATGTAAAAATAAGATATCTTACATTAAGTGTTGCGTCTTGTTACTTTTCATGTAAAATATTTGCATTAAGAGTTACGTGTTAATACATAATTACATTAATGGTTGTACCTGTGCATAGACGTTAAGCGCTTTGGTGTAACCCAAGAGCACAGGTATGGTGCTGACAAACCTAAAAACATAATCGAGGCGAGTCTGAGATTCGAGCCTGCGGTCATAGGTTTCTGGCAAGTGACGTAACTCTAATATTCCGTTCACATGCGCAACCTTTACTCACGTAAGTACTCATAATTTGGCACGTGTGTAACAATACACATGTGTGTATATGTAATTGTACTATGCGTTCACATGAAAATAACCAGGTGTTTAAATATATAATGGTGTGAGGCACACATATTCATCAGACTGTTCACGACTTTCACCGTGGAAAGGTTGTTTTCCAATCAAAGTCGAATGGAAGAGAGTTATCACACAAAAACAAAAACAACGAGTTTGATTTAATCTGTACACAACTTTTTGACTCCTTGAAACCCAAAGAAAACACTGTCCGCCCAGCTCTGGATGTCCGCATACAAGTTGGTATTGCTAGATTCAGAGTTACAGATAAGCTGCGTATTTGGGTAAATTACCAAAAGAAAATATTCAAAATCCAATAACTTTCAATGAACTTGCGTACAGAACGCATGCATTAGTGGTAAAACTCAAATATATAAAAAAACAGCACCTTTAAATACCCAATAAAGCTTTTTGACGGAAGTAATTTCCGAAACACATTTACGAGCTAAATTACTATCTGAGTCAAGCCTATGTTTAGAACCGTTATATACATCTAAAACATTATTTCATTAATATTGAAATCTCAAAATGTTTACTCAGTTTGGGAAAAACCCAAGAGAGTGATGAATAGATGAGTGAAAAAATACTGGCTACCCAATGAAAAATGTAATAACCCAATTAAAATAGAATCAAAGAAACCTTCGAGTAAAAACTCAACTGCTCAAAACGTTATCTGGAGCTCTGGCTAGATGCTGATTGGCGTCAACTTCAGAATACAAAACTGTTGCCAATTTGTTTGGCATTATAAACGTTCACATGACAACATATAGATACAGTGCAAACAATTTGCACTTATGTGAATTTACATTTGCTCCTGTTCCAGACATTTACTCCTGTGTAAATATACACACATGAGTAAACGCGTTCACATTACAAGGATACTCACATATGTATATTTATACACGGTATGCAAATATACACACACATACACCTTTTTGGAGGTGCATGTGAACGGGGTATAAGAACAGCATCACTTCGGGCTTTCCCCCAACGTCAAGCTTACACGACGTGATCACTGAAACTGCTTGATACCAAAATCACAATCTCATTGACAGGGACAAGATCACTCTGGCAGTTCTAACCCTCCGCGAAGATGGAACTCTCCACACGCTGCAGAACAAATGGTGGTTCGAGAAAGGCCAGTGCGGAATAGACGGAGGGTCAAAGGTAAAAAAATAGAGCTCTTACGAAAAGGAGTGTTTATTGTCATGTACTTATATAACTAGAATTCCGTGTCCCAATATCTAAAAAATATACCCATTTCATTAGGTTACTCGGACAAATAAACCAAACTTGTAACCATTTATATGTTGCGTGTCCGCTTTCATAACGCTATTACTATATGTTGAATAACTGGGTCAAACACAGAATGTTTTTTATGACCGAGACAGTTTTGCATTTGATTTTGTTATGTTAGATTTCTCGGGGGGGGGGGGGGGGGGGGTCAATTTTGAGGCAGTCTTTGTAACATTGTCAAGTTTACGGTGGGCTTAGCTAGATCGTTCTTTTTAAAGGTAAAGAGAACGGTTGCCGCGGTTCATTGATCAGACAAATTAACAACTGTACAGTTTGCTGTGTATATTTAAAATATGTACTTTCACGTTTCTCAACGTGATATACATCTATTTATCTTTAAATCCTAATTTAAACACGTGAAGAGATAATAATGTTTTCCTGACGTAATCTATTCAATATATTTTCAACCTTTGCAAATAATTGATGTATAATTTCGGCAAATAAAGAATAATTAATTTGTTCATGATATCATTGGGTTGTCGAGGAAAATCGAAAGAATATATTCTTCACTTTGAATTGTCTAATTTATTTGGTAAGAAAAACGAAATTCCTTTTAACCCTTGTCTCCAAGTTGGCAATACGTTCAAACATTGACCGACGGGCAAAAGAAAGTATACAGCCATGTTTGGTAGTGGCTAAAATGAAACAAGAATGGTTATTCAATGGTGATGTATTTGATAGGGGTCTCACAGTTGTTTTTTGGACATTATGTTTGCAGTGTTTCGGCGACTATTTTGAGCCTAGTAACGTTTTTATACGTAAACGTAATTTTTGGGTCAAATCCTATTTTCAAGTGTATGATTTCTTTTGCCTGGCAGTTTAGTTGAAAATAAACATGAAATCTCGAAATAACTTCTCTACAAAACTTTGCTGTTTCTTTTTGTGTTGTCACGACGTGAGGCGATGAGGTAGCCATTTTTGGTGTCCTAGCCTTGATATTGAAACACTATTGCTATAAACGATGTGAACCGACTCACTTCCTACATGAAAAACCTATATATGTCAGCGATCTTTCTTTTCTTGTAGGACTCCGGGAAGCGTTCCCTGTCGCTAAGCAACGTTGCGGGGGTGTTCTACATTCTCGTCGGCGGTCTTGTGTTTGCAATAATTCTGGGAGTGTTTGAGTTTATGTGTTTTAGAGCGAAAAATCCAAAGGTACAGTTATAATTTCTTGCATCAACAGTAATTTTGAGGTGTCCATATTTGGTTTAGGGGCTCCTGTTTAAAGAGAGACAATCTCGAGTATATCTACATTGTTTTTAGTGCGCGTTAGTATGCTTCTCTTCATGTAGTGGAATTATATTCGTTTTAAAAGTACATGTAATTGATAAAATTGGAAGAAATGGATTCTGGTCCTCATTTTCACATTGGAGGAATATTTATACATGTATAATTATAAAGACATTATTACGTATGGAAGAGTCGTTAATCCAGACATATGTTAATCCTTACGATTTCACTGGGAACGACAATGTATGGAATAACGGGGTTTCAGTGTAACTCAACAACAGATAAGCGCCCACGGTATCTGCCTTACAACATGTGTTTAAGAATTGAACAAAATTTTGGAAATTGTTATGAAAGTTATCAGACATGTTCATATGAATGAGAACTAAACATTGTCATTTTAAAGGTTTTCATGAAGTGTTTTTTCTAATATTACCCAATCTGAATATTATAGATGTACATAAAGCAAAGTACAAACGTATAGTTGAAACCATTTTGCCCATGCTGATATTTTCAAACAATCTGATATTTACATTCTTTTTAGCCATTTTTGTGTATTTGACCATATCCGAAAGAAACAAATGCTAGGTGTCAGCCATTTGAACATGTCTGACGATTTTCATACCAATATTCCATACCACGTTTCCCGCAACTTAAAAATTTCCAGTGGGCCCTTAGTTTACCTCCTCCTATATTGCAAAACCCCACTCACTCACCTACTACCCACCAACTCACCCATCCACTCACCTACTCACCTACTACCCACCAACTCACCCATCCACTCACCTACTACCCACCAACTCACCCATCCACTCACCTACTACCCACCAACTCACCCATCCACTCACCTACTACCCACCAACTCACCCATCCACTCGCCCACTCACCTACTACCCACCAACTCACCCATCCACTCCAAACTCACCTACTACCAACTCACTCGCCCACTCACCTACTACCCACCAACTCACCCATCCACTCACCAACTCACCTACTACCCACCAACTCACTCGCCCATTCACCTACTACCCACCAACTCACCCATCCACTCACCAACACACCTACTACCACCCAACTCACCAATCCACTCAACAAGTCACCTACTACCCACCAACTCACCCATCCACTCACCAACTCACCTACTACCCACCAACTCACTCGCCCACTCACCTATTTACACACCCACTCACCCATCCATTCACACCCCCACTCACCTATCCACTCACAGATCCACTCACACATCCACTCATCCACTCAACACCCACCCACCCACCCACCCGCTAACCCATCCATTCACACACCCACTCACCCATCCACTCACAGTCCACTCACACATCCACTCATCCACTCAACACCCACCCACCCACCCACCCACTAACCCATCCACTCACACACCCACTCACCCATCCACTCACAGATCTACTCACACATCCACTCAACACCCACCCACCCACTCACCCATCCACTCACACACCCACTCACCCATCCACTCACAGATCCACTCAACAACCACCCACCCACCCACTCACCCATCCACTCACACACCCACTCACCCATCCACTCACCCATCCACTCACACATCGACTCAACAACCACCCACCTACCCACTCACACATCCACTCATTAACCTAATCGCCCACTCTCCACAGGCTGCGTGCACGCCATCACAAGCGACGTACCTGCGGGGGACCGAGACGGCGACGACGTTGTGTACTCCAAACGACAGGGAGGACGGCAATCTACCGTATGATTATCAAAATGAGAAAAATTTAGCAGAGGTACACGTAAGTTAGTTTCATTCTCGCCATTGTAATACACTGGGAATACGCAACACACCCAGTGTTCCTTGTGGCCAGCGTTGTACAAGTCCCACAGACCAACCTCGTGTTGTATTCGTCACATATCAAAATTAATTATTTTTAAGAAATTAGAAAAAAATAATTCTCGTTAAACTCCATTCGTGACCAACTCGTGTTATTCCGGGACAAGCAGGTTACGGAAAGGGGCGAGTGGTGACGAATGGTTAAACTCACGTTTAGAAACGTTTGCTGAGTTCAAGCTCGTGTAGCGCCGTAATTTCCGGCCATCTTTTTCTTGTTTACCTCTGCGGCGCAGCATAGAGCTGACATTTGATGGTCGTTTAAAAATAAATACGAGGTGAGGTGACCACAGATGAACACGATTGTGTAGCCTATGGTTTGTTTAGCAGGCGCCAACAGGTTGAAATAAATGACATTCATATTTCATGCGATATCGAGCTGTGATTCGAACCGAGTGCGAAAACTTGAATAAGGACCAAGATGGCGGGTGTCACTCCTTGTCTATATGTATACAAGAGGGTGTGATTTTTTTCTATACGAATATATTACGCTATACACGCTATCATCGAGTTTCTGTGGGTTTTATTCCGTCGATGTGTAAAACACATGTTGGAACAGTGAGTCAGAATTGGGCCCGGGTACCTAATTATTATCGTGAGAGACCGGATGGTCCATTTATTACATACTTCTAGACCTTCGTGACAGCTGCAAAAGTGCCGACTGAAGCGATAATCAACATTCCTTGATCTCTCATATGGGATTCGAACTGTCCTGTCATCGAAGAGCTACTCCACTTCGGCGTGCCAGAAACCTATGATCGCGGGTTCGAATCCGAGTTTCGCCTGATTATGTTTCTAGGTTTGTCAGCACCGTACCCATGTTCGTGGATAATTTCATGACATTTTTGTTATTTGGGTGTCCTTCATCAAAGGTACGCTCACTTTGGTATGGAAAACTCGGAATTGGATCTGATAACCAAATTATTGTCGTGAGAGTTTGTTTGTTTGTTGTTTAACGCGTCACTCAGCAATATTCCAGTGGTCACCGTGAAAAGTTACACTGTGAATCCGTTTGGGTTCGAACCCCTTCACTCCGTGGTCTAGAGGAAGCGCGTCCGACCGGAGAACAGAAGGCCCGGTGTTCGATCCCTGGCCGCGTCATACCAAAAGACGTTGAGGCCGCGTCATACCAAAAGACGTTAAAAGATTGTACTTGTTGTAACCCTGTCTGGCGCTCGGCATTAAGGGGCTAAAACAAGGACTGGTCGACTCGGAGTCAGTATACTGTGTCTGTTTGGGATATTCATGTTAAACTGCGGCATGGTATCTCAGTGGGCTAGCACTATAAATCGGCATCAGTCCGGACAAGCAGCCACCCACACACACACACGTACATGCACGTCGCTATATAAGTGCAATAATTTAGATCCCATTTCACCTCACTTCACCTCGACTCACTTTATGATTCAAATGGGATCCATCAGTGTGGTACACGTCTATACGATCTGGAAACTTTTGGCTTCATATGAAGGAAAAAACTGAAGGAAAGACAAATTCGAAATAAGGAAAATAAATATTACCAACAATATTGAAAAAATTGAATTTATTAACTTTCCTCACTCTATTTATTTCAGTACACGTACGACCAACCTCGACTTTTTGGATTTGAGGCTTTTAACGACAACAAACCAAACACAGACGTTTAAGAGAAGATTTCCCTACAACATAGTGTATAACGAGCACTACATCAAAATAACGTGTCTCTTCATCAAGGTCAGATGTAAAGTCAAACAGCTCAACCGCCCTTGACCTTGGTGACCTCAAACGTGATCAAACATGGTCCTATAAAATTCAAGTGGCCATAGAAAACAAGAAACAAGATTACCCATGAAGGTGTTTTTTATTGTCAATGAAGATGAAGTAGGGTAGTCTAGTGGTTAAATCGTTCCGTCGTGACGCCGAAAACCCGGGTTCGATTCCCTACAATGGTGCAGTGGATGTATGCAGACTATCATTAGACATCACGCGACAAGATTAACCCTTAACACGGCATCAAACAAATCTCGCTCACCTAGGGTGTATGGGTTTTGTCTTGGATTATCATACGGATTAATGTAAGACGCATAACCTAACTCCAGGAGAGTATTTCTTTACCCCTTCTGAAACAGGGGGCACAGGTGGCCCAGTCGTCTAAGGCGCCGCAATTCGCTGTGCAGAGTTGCGTCTCTTGGACACGCTAAAAACCTATGATTGTGGGTTCGAATCCCGGTTCGCCCTGATCATGTTTCTAGGTTTGTCAGCACCATACCCGTGCTCGTGGGTTTCACCAAAGTGGTAAACGTCTGAGACCTGCATCACTTCGGACTTCCCTCCCATGGTAAGCTGACACGCCGTGATACTGTTATTAACGGCGTTAAACACAACTCTCTCACTCGATATTTATGCATCACAGCTGACAAAATAATTGAAGCAGACATTTCACATTCACAAACAAAATCTTTAAAGTCTCGGCCCTGCGCAGGGCGGAATAGTTTAGATTCTGGTATCCAAGGCGAGACGGTTTACATAATTCTCCAGACTTACATTTCAGTTAACCAGAGAAACCATTTACGAAAATGTTAAGGCAACTTGACAAAAGTTTTATGTGTATATCACACCTAGTCATATACATGAAAATGAGTGTATCGACAAAAAAATTCATAGCAATCAACCCGATGTTGGATATAAATATATATTTACAGTTTTGTTAGAGTCGTTTACGTTAGTGTTATCTAGTAAGTGCAATAATCGGAAGCAAAATGGTTAATTCCGTTTAGACTGGGTTCATGTCTATACAAACTATAACAGCGCATAATGCATTGGGCATAGGACCACAAGAACCATTACTGAAGCATTCGTGACCACTCGTGTCTTTCCGGGACATAACGAATGGTTACGGAAAGGGGCGAGTGTTGACGAATGAACAAGCTCATTTGAACCAAATATGTATATATGTGAATAAAGGGGTTTACGCGCCGTAATCGTGTGACAAAGGTTTTATGTAGTTTTACAAGCATTCTATTGTTACTTCCTTACCCGTGAGCGTTTGGTATACTGTGATTTTGTATGCTTGACTATTGAATAACTCGTTCACTCTTTAAACAATCATTTAGTAAGAGCATTAGGGTATGCCAGTTATATTCATCAGGCTCAATGTCTGAAGACGGGGTGTTTGCATGTTTGAAGGGTTAACGAGAATGCCCTCGCTGTGTACTTGGTTACAGCCCAACCCCGTTAATCTGGAATCTACCATTCCTACTGAATAGTCCGAATACATTTTCGAACTGAAGTAGATCTTTGACTCTGATACGATACCTAGCTGCGTGATGATCTAAGGACACCGCCATTAGAGTTCATGTCAGGTGAACCTTCTAATCAGCCAATCAGCGTCAAGGCTTCTATATTCTCGGTACGTATTCTCATGGTGCATTCAACCAAGCACATCTGATTTCTGTATTTCTAAAACAAATAAAAAGCAGGTAATCCTAATGGGAAAATAAATAAAGCCTCGCTATTATATTGTTGTAGATATTTTATACATTCTGTCATTGTGATCGCCATGATATCAAGGGGGTTCGATGATGGGTATTTTTTGTGTTCTGTGGGGTTTGTTTTGCAGAGATCGAAATTTCCGAATCGGGGTGGTAAAATAATGAAGCCGGGTTGTTTTATAAACTGAAATCTGACTGGCTCAAGAAGCCACTTATCCTTCATTCTGATTGGGCGGTCAAAGTTCATTCGTCGTTTACCTAACGCGACCTTCAATGAAGGTGTGAGAATTTTGACATAGACAGGTATCGTTTCGGGGTAAAAGATCTGATTTTCGTGAGACTGTAAGTTATCGTCAAGGCGAGGTTTTCGAACTAACAGAGCTTCGCTGTTTATAACTTATTTGCCAATCGTTTAGACTTGTTTATAGGGATTGGTACTTGGGGCATCTAAATGGTGTGCATGAATCGAATTGTTTTTGATAAACTTAGAAAAAACTACGTTTGTATGTAGTTTGCTTTCGATACCGCCTGTTTTAAGTAATAGACTTAAAGGAGGCAATCGACCCATAACAAAAGGCTGGAAGACTTAGAGTAACACGTGACCTAAATACGTCATGATGTCATTCCCTTTGTGCACCCGACACCATTGTTATGATAACGGTATCAGCATTGGATACGCGTCTACTAGCCATGTCCAGATGTAAGGGTGGCCAGAGTTTAGGGTGTCCATTGTAGAGTGATTTTAATATAGTCAGTTATCAAGTGTCCGATGTGTGAATCAATCAGCAAATGGTGGAATGACAGTATATTAGGAGGTCTTTTATATTGAAATCCACACTCCAAATCCTCGACTACATACGTCTGGATAGTGGGAGATCTGGTCTACGATACATATGTCCGTTTAGTAGAGGTCTGCTCATCTTCTATTCTACATTTCCTGGTGCCGAGGTGTCCGGAATACTGAGGTCTGCACTAGAGAGTTTTAGCACACAGCTCCACACATAGGTATGTACTCGAGGGCATGCACAGATCACGTGACTGACACGGGTGACCATATTAGCTTGAGGAGACAGAAGGCGAAGTCGTACGACCTTGTCTTACTTCCAGGTTATGTTTCTTATTATTGGTTCCAGGCAAGCTCCTCACAGCGATATTCCGTCCGCGGGGCTCTCTATGCTATAATACAGAACGGGTAACGAAGGTGTCACGCGCTGGGAAGAAGTTTGTGTTCAAGGGAGGTAAATTTGGAGCTAAATGGAGTAACGTCCCTTTTCACTGCAAAAGAAGCTCAGAGAATTCTGATAAATTGGCAAATTGGCATGCTCGAACAAAATGGCAACAACGATGGGCATCATCCTTAAAAGGATGTCATCTCTATGGCATTGAGCCTTTTATTACTAAATTACAAATACCGCAAATCAATCAGGGAGAAGAGGTTCTCTAGACCAGACTCCGTCTTGTGCATTGTGGTCATGGTTCTTATCTCAATGTTATTAATAAAGACATTTCTGAACACGGTACAGGGTGTAATCACCTTGACAATTATTCAATGCTTTGCCAAAAATATGTAAATCAAAGTAAGGTGATGGTCGAGTCTCTCACAGTTCTCAATACTGACCTGTCATTGGATGGACTATTATGTTCGAGGGATATCGTTCGCAATGTAATTCAGAATGTAATTCCTGCTCATTCAGATTTAATACTTTAGGGCATTTCTAGGAACTTTGCCAACCTTTTTTATGGGCAAGTTGCCCGAACACCTATAAAACATACAATTCATCAATCAATCTTCCCAGCGCGTGACAACTTCGTTACACTCTCGCGTAACATCGCTGCCGTCAGTGTGTGACTGGCCTTTGCAGGAGCTGAGACCGGTGGCAGCGATAGTAAATGGATCTCCACGAACGGGCTATTGCTGTGAGGAGCTTGTAAAAAAAAGATTAGTTAATTCGAAGACAAGTTAATATAACGTCTGATTATTATGAGATTATTATCTACACAAGACTTCAGTGAGGAAGTACAAGGACAAAACATGATACTCCCCAGTTCTTCTTATAGTTCAGTTGTACATAGTTTGCCGATAGTCTCAGCTGTATATTCATTGTGAATAGGTACGTATGTTTATAATTTGTTACGCTCATCTCGTGATAACATCTCTGTACAAATGTAAGGAATAAATGACAATAACATGTGATATATATGTGTCTTAGTGTCGTTGACTATCATAGTTAATAATGTTGGCAGCTATGACAGACCACATTCACAATGTTTGTCAGGGTCAAGTGAAACCGTTTCTCCCAATGAACCTGTTTGTGGATGAACGCCACACCCAGCACATCTTCCCGAGGCAAGAGAGTTAACTGACCATAAAAGTCCAGTTTCCACCCTTGCCGAACTAGGCTGGCATTATGGAGTTACATTTTGGCTGGACTAACGAGTCTTTGCATAGTCCAATCAAAATCGCGCAACGAAATGGAAATCCGGTTCCTTAACTGTCGTGCAGATTGCGTTCGATTGCCGGATTTGCAAAACTTGTACACCGCCAACTCGTTGTCAACAGATATTTCCATATGTTTTCATGTTTTTAATCAAGGTGCTCACGTGATTTGATGCATTTTGCGATGTTAGACCCGTTTTATCACATTATAGATCTTGATTATCGAACAGATCGTCCTGACTGGGCGCCGCCATTTTGTTTGAAGTAAATGCAAGTGATACGAGAAGTGAAATCTGATTGGTCCATTGGAGAGGTTTAGAAGGGACACAACTCGTAATAGCCACTGGTGGCGCTACGATCGAGCCCAGGAATTCCAGCCTAATTCGGCAAGGGTGGAAACTGGACTTTTAAAGTCAGTTAACTCCCTTGCCTCGGGAAGATGCACCCAGCAATATTCCAGCTATAACACGTCGGCATGAAAACATCGTGTCAGGACCAGATAAACCAGTGATTGATAATATGAGCCACGCCCCAGCCTGTCGGGATAAGATGAAAAGGAATTAACCAGGCACATATATCCAAACATACACACGACAGCCTGTAAGACATCGTCATTGAAGGTGACACAAGCATTCACCACCACAGCGTTACGTTCCTTCTTATTGAAGTGAAAGACCCGTGAAGATCCGGGTTCGATTTGGTCATCAGCAACCCATGCCTGCCGTAAGAGGTGACTAATCTTGTGAGGGGCGATTAACGGTATCGGGTGGTCAGGTTCGCTGGCTTGGTTGATGCATGTCATCGTATCCCAATGGCGTAGATCGATGCTCGTGATATCAATCACTGGATTATCTGACTCGATATTTTCAGACCGCCGTTTTATAGCCGAAATATTGCTGAATGCGGCGTTAAACAACAAACCAAACGAAAACGATACTGAAATTGACATCTCGTGGAAAATGGTTTTCATTCAAGATAAAGTAGGGACACGGGACGGCGCGTGGCTCTCCACTGATGACGAATTTCATCAGTAAAGGTGAAGGTCGCCTCTAGGACACCTGTACACAATATAAGTACTAATTATATAACTCGTGTATGATGGTGGATTAATACGTTCCGTTAACATAGTAATTGAGTAATAGAGATTCTGAAATACTTTATTGTGGACATTACTTGATGTTACAGAGGTCTATCCACAAAACTTGAATTAATCAAGCAAATTGTATCGCTGTGACAAGTCAGTAAAATAAGCAGGGGCGTGTCATCCTTGCAAAATGGATAAATTAGCATGCCTTGATCAAGTTCTTGCGAAAAA